TCAAAAAACACTGGACAAAACCTGGTTCATATCGCCTTCCGCCGGAAGATGCATCATACTCCGTTCTAAGCACAGAAAAACCCAATAAACCAAAGGTATCTTCTTCGTCTGAACAGAAACAATTTAGCTTTCGATTGATTCAATCCGTATCCAAACGGACAACCCTGTGAGCTAATAATCCTACCTATACCCTCTATTACCCTGTTTAAGCATACCAGCAAAAAGAACTTGTGAACTCCATCTGAGTGCAAGGCTTCTTGCAAACCCCAGTAATGATGGTTTTTTTTTTTTTTTTTTTTTGATGGAAGAGTCAATGGGATCTTCCTATTCCTCTCCTTTTTTCATTCTTTTTATTTAAGAAAAGCTGCCTTCTCCTCATCAGTCGGATAATTTTCTGTCAACAAAAAAAAACCATAAAAAGAATTGAAGGGGAAAAAGTCAGCACAGATTGTTCTTTTTTTTTTTATCTTGAAAGCCTGGACAAGCTGGCCAAGGTGGCCTGAATCTTTTTTTTTTTTTTTTTTTTTTTTTTTTTTAATCATTACCAAAAGCTTGGGGAGGCCGGGAATCCTCCACATGGCCTGAATCTCCAGTGGCGCATAGCTCGTGGAAAAAAAAAAAAAAAAGAGGGCAATTACAGAAATAGTCTGAAATACCGGTTCCGAGAAGTATCGATCCGCCCCTACATGCCTACAAATAACGGAGATGGAAGCGGGATTGTGGGAAGCACGCAAGGAGTTAGGGAGAAGCTTGGTGGATTCCCCCTGAGGAAGACCGAGTGGCGGCGGTCAAAACTGGTTGCGGTGCCATACCCACCGGAGAGAAAGCGTTTGTTGTACTTGTGCACTATGTGTACTGTGTCTATTTCATTTGAAATTTACATATTAGTGTTCTTGCATTTTGTTCAGTTCTGAGATCCACACCTTAATCAAATCTGTACCTACAAATAAACCTGAAAAGTTGCAAGAATACCATTTTCACAGAGTTTCGGAGGAAATTTACCGCTGATTTACCGCTGAGTATCTCCTTTCGTGACAGAGACCCGTACTCCCGGGCCTTGGCCTGAGGCAAGCACTCCAAGGCAGGCGGGTCCTCTGTTGCAAAAGGAGGTACCACCTATGTATTTGCCGTGAAAGAAAGAACTGCCCGGTACATCTGCATAGAAAATTTTGAAAAAAGCTGGGAAGTTTTTCATGCCCGGCCACGCACCCGGGCGTGATGCCTGAGGGGGTCTGATGCCCGGGGTACCTGGGCGTGCAAAAGAAAAAAAGAAAAAAACATTTTTTATTTTTTATTTTTTATTTTTGCCTTTCTGCACTTTCCCCAAATCCGGCCTCATTTCATTTTTTGATAGTTGGCTGTCAAGGGGGGGAAAAGGGGTTATAAATTGTTTTCAAAGGGGCTAAGAGGGGTTAAAGGGAGGTCCTTTAGTGTGACCCTCAGCCAAAAGTTGTTTGTATTGCAATTCCACACAACATTTTTTTTTTTTTTCTGGAATCTTTTGAATTTCGTTTGTATCTTTTTTTTTTTTTTTTTTTGCGCTGGGGCTGCCCGGAACACTGGGGGCATGCCCGGCCGGGAACCTGGGCGAGTATCCGGGCACAAGTTCGGTGCCCGGGCGCCCGGAAAAACAACCTAGGAAAAAAGGTACTTATGCGACTTTGCTGGCATATTTCTCACAATGCAAGGGCAGACCAGTTGTTTTTTTGTTTGTTTTGTTTTTTTTCAACTATAAAAAAAAAATTATATTGCAGGCTGGGAAATGGGCCCAACATCCCTCACATCAGAAGCCACGGCCTACAGGGATGAGGCAGGCTCTCCGGACAGGCTTAACCCAAACCGCAGCAATTGCACAAAGCTCAGTTTTTTTCTGAAAAGAGATACCCAACGCAGTCATTTCATTTGTACACCCTGCAATGAACAATACGACCCCTACGCCCAGTACCCCAACCTGTGACGCCCAACCTCACGCCCGACGCGACTTCCTGATCGGAGTGGGATGTGGGCCTGCAAATGCGAAAAGGGGTGTGCCAAGGATTTTTCAGAAAGTGGGGGTGGAGTCCCAGGTCGGAACTGGGATCTCCTGTGGCAAGGGTTCAGGGGCATAGATGCAATAGGACCAAGGGGCGGGTTGCCTTCGGTCTGGAAGTGGTCGATGTCGTGCAGCATAAGGCAGATGGCATGCGCGGTGCGTCAGAGGCCGTCCGATCCGTCGGTTTGGGTGACGGCGGGTCGGGAGAGGCTCGTGAGGGGGGCGGTTCTCAGAAGTCGGGTCTTCGGGGGCAAACACGTGGCATCTGTCGTCGCGTGTTATAGTTACGTTTCGTAGTCCTCGGGGTTTGACGGGGACTGCGCCGTCTGCATTTTCTGCACGGCGTGCGGGGCCAATACGGGGCGATGGAATTCCATGGTACCACAGTGAGCTGGTGATACGGGAGGAGAAGACGCAAGGGAGGGAAGATGGTAGTGATAACGACAAAGCCGGGGGATATGAAGTATTGCGTATTGTACGTAGTTGGGTAATCGGGGCACCTCGGATCGCTGGTCACGGCACAACGAAATTCCCTAGGGCACAATCGGTTCTCTGTTAGGCAGCGAAATTCTGGTCGTCTCTGCCTAAGTTCTTCTCTTATCCAAGGTTCGAAGTACTCTGAATCCCATGAGCTCGGCATCTTGTCATTATGGCGTAGTGGAAGCCTTTCGCGCGAATCTAACCGGCGAGGGGATTTCTCGATGCGATATCGGAAATTCCTATCCGTTTAGGTGCGTGCAAGGAGGAAAATTCCGCCTATCAGTTTCATTAATGGTCGTGAATCGCCGCGTGTGGATACGTGTAGGCTGCGCAGATCGGATCGCGCGTACACGTATCCCCCGAGGTATTCGCTTGTTTCCGCAAAAACGCAAAAACGAGAGTCATGCAAAATCGCCACGAGCCATGGACAGCTACCCAAGCATCTAATCACTCAGTGATTCGCAAGCATTCATCCCTGAGCATGCGAGGTGTCCTTATACATCAGACATCACAACAGCATCAAAATTTCTACAAGCAATGATGAGGACCAGACAAGAGAAACGACAACCATATCGTTCATCCATTCATTCGGCAAAACAAACAGTAACCAAGATGAAGATCCATCACAAAACAAGTTTGGGCTGAAGCTGAGGCAAAGATTCCGAAAACAAAAGGAAACGGGCGAGTTGCCCTGAGCCGAAATCAAAATTTATATACGAGAGTAACAAGGGAGATAAGACAAAGAAAATTGCAAATCCACGCCCATCATCCTCAGCTCTCTCTTCCTCTCTCTCTCTCTCTCTCTCCGATGCGGACAGTCCATCGTCACACACCAACCCACGAAGTCGTCACCCCGCTTAGTCCTCCTGCACCCGTCAGGTTCGCCCGCACGAAGCCCGTCGTAGCCCCATGCATCAACCTCGCGCATTCGGCACCAGCTCGTCGGGTCGCCCGACTCCTACTTTACTCACCTCTTACTTCGCTCGTGAGCCGACCCTTACTGATCGCGCTACCTCGAGCTTCCAACCATTGGTTAAGAGAGCTATCTAATCGCGCAGCCAAAATTTATAATGTGCATGCATGTGCGAAGAACACGGAATTGCAAGGACTTAGAAAGGAGATTAGGAGAGGGAGCGCCTATGTTCTGCATGGCCAGACCGCGGCGTGGGGGACATAGCCACTCTCCACGCATCGATCTGAGCATGCAGGCCGCGGGCTAACTGGACACAGCAAAAGGGAAAGAGAGGGGGGGAAAGATGAAGCTCGAGAAGAAAGATACAGTTACATTGGCACCCGCCCAAAATTACAGTTATTTGCAATATTAAAGGTGCCGACTAATCAGAGGTCCGTTGCAGGCGCAAAAAAAAACGCGCAAGCAAAAAAAAACGCTGCGCGGTAAAAGGAAATCTTAAATTCCAAAATTCCAAAATTCCTATCTACTGCAGAGATGCAAAAAGCACAAATTTTGGAAAAGAAAGTCCGAAGTTCCGAGAGCCATCAAGGCTCGACAAGATTCGAAAAGAAAATTTAAAAAGAGCGAAGCAAAAATTCCCGTGCGATGTCCGCGCCTAAACTCGACAACATAACAAGAAAGAAGAGACGTCACACATTATTATTCGCGCTTTAGTCGGCACGACAATCGACCATCTCGGGACTTGCCCGGCCCTGAACTCAGCCATTCGAAAAGAAGCGACGAAAAAAAAAAAAAAAAGACGAAGAAGCGAGGACACTAATGCAATTTTCCCTCAATCCCGATCTCCCGTAATTGGCTCAACTTCTCATCTTAGGACCCCTCATTGTCGTCGCGCAGAAAATCGCGCGGAACAGAAATCGGCTCGTCACATATGTGACGCCCAGGGGGTTCCAATCTTAAGCAAACTCATGCTTGCTTGAATCACGACACGTGGCGCTTTCTTCGTTGCCACCAACCGTGCAAAGGAGTGTGGAAGTCATTCAGTGTGGCAAACGTGGCTCTCTCCTAAACATTCCTCTGGGAGGGCTCTCTTCAATCCAAGGAGGGGATTATTCGTGTCATCACCGTGGCACGTGCCAATCAACCGTGCATCAATGACCAACGGGGAGAGGAGAGGGAAGACGATACATGGGGGTTGGTGAGCCGGGAGTGGGGGCAGAAAGCGTTCCAACCCCGCAACAGTCACCGGAAGCTCTTAATATCAGATGATCCGGTGGAAGCGAGGGAATCAATTACCAGTATGAGGGAGGGAGGCGAGATAATCGGGGTAAAGAGTGGTGAAGGTTCGAAAAAGTGTCGTGCGGACATGATCGTGGTTTTCGCACGCGGGGATAGTCCCCGTGATCATGCAATAAACTTCAACGATGTTGTGGCCTCGCCACTCGGCACTGAAGAGAAGGGCATGGAGGCAGAAGACAGGGGTGGCACACCGAGTAGAGGGATGAGGATGAACTGTGACAGCGAGTCGGGTGGCGTAGAAGAAGCGGAAGGTGTCGATTGGGAAGGGATTGCAGGGGAAGGTGATGCGCGTAGTGATATGAAGGAGGGTGAGGTGGTCAAGAGGACGACGGGATAAGGACTGGGGACGAAGCCCGATGCCCCGCATCGGTACGAGCTCGAATTGGTGGATGGGCGGAGGGGGAGGGGGAGGGGGAGGGGGATCGGCTTCGTCGTCGTCGGGCCGGTGCGCTCGAAGTCTCGGCAGCAAGGTCCCCATCGTCGTTCTTGGGCGGCTCAGGATCCTTGGCGGGGTCATTCGGGACTGGCAGATCCACTCCACTTGCGAATTCCAGCAGCTGCTTCCCAGCTGCTATCTCCTCTCTCCTTCGCGCCGCCTCGGGGTCCTCTTGCTGAGTCTCCGCACGGTCCGGCTCTTCACCCAACGTCTCCCACTCGGATTCCTCCTCTTCTTCCAACTGCTCCTCCTCTTCTTCTTCTTCTTCTTCTTCTTCTTCTTCCTCTTCGCCCCGCTCTTCCTCGCTGTATTCACTGTAACTCCCCGATTCTGCGGAAGTTTCCTCTTCCTCCTCGTCACCCTCCTCTTCTTCCTCCTCTAGCGTTAGCCCTTCATCTTCAGAGGCAGTACGAGGCTGAAAGAAGGCGAGGTCGATTATCTCCCGCGGGTCCAGGTACTGTCGTTGCGATGGCGGGTTGTTGTTTCCTACGTGCTCCTCGAGGCAGGCTGACCATTGTAGGTAGGGCGTCAGAGTTCATGAAAGAATATGCGGGACCGAGCTCCCGTCGCACTGCGAAACAATATCGAGAGGGAGATCATCGACCAGCTACGCGAGAGGAATCGTAAGCTCCTGTGCGATCAGCTGTTGATGGTCGGGCCGCACCGATCCGAACATAAATCCGAGAAGGTCTCCTTCCACCTACATCCTCCAAGCTTGGATAATCAACAGCTCCACGTATTCGATCCAGACAGGGTGTTCTATGTCCCTCGTCCACGTCAGCTGTACTCCAACCAAACACCCCGAAATATCGACGAAGTGCTCACACCACAGCTCCCACTGTCTCCGATCAAGGATGGGGACAGCAAGTGGTTCCAGACGAAAGGAGAGACGGGGGCAAAGGTCAAACTGCCAAAAGGTAGGGAAGAGAGAGGGGAGAGCGAAGGTAGAGAGCTGGGAACGGTTCATTGAGGACGCTGGAAGGGAACGGGCTCCGGAAGCACTACCGTTGGCTCGTGCCGAGTTGTCCGAAGTCCTCCGACATCGATGTCGTCCGTGGGGAGAAGATTGTCGCCATGGCGCGTGAGCCACTGATTCCACTCCGCTGCCAGTTGTCGGCCTCACTTCCTTAGCGACATCCGGATGGTCGTGTGTCGTAGAGGGCTGATCGCACTAATATCCCCGTTGAAGAGGACGATGGTGGACACGTGGCTAACTCCTGGTATTGACAACCGTCGAACCGTCGTCGCTTCTGCCAACACAATCGCCTGGCGATGGCCCGCAAATCAAAAGTCAGCCGTCGTGTACACTCCCGTGGTACAGAAGAATTGCGTGAGTCGTAGAAGATCCGGACTCAATCGCGGGTGATGGACTTGCCGAATAGCCGAGATGTCGCCGCGTGGCGCCAGCATGTGATCACCGAGGGCCCGCTCAGTAAGAAAACTCATGGCAATGGCGATGGGGACGAGACATGAGAAAGGTCGATAGATGCAGAAGAGGGTGAAGGTGAAAAAAAATCGTCGTCTTCCTCTGTAGCGAAAGAGGAAGCAGACACAGCAGGAGATGGAGAGGAAGGGAGAAGACATAGATAGGACACGTGGCGGACGATTGGTCGAGTCAATCGGCTTCCCGAGACCTCTGGCACGAGGCGCATGGTGTTCACCCCGTTCGGTCTGAGTTCGATCATGCAAAACCGCCCGAAGAATCTTGGCGCTATCTTCCCTTGGCGAGCACATTTCCTCATCTGCACCAGGTCCCCTAATTTATACTGGGGCCGTGGTCCTGCGTTCCCATTTCCGGCCTCGTTGCTACGGACCTGTCGGCCGTGGGCCAACTCAGTCATTTTCTCGCGCTTTCGAGCTAATCGGGAAGGGACTGTTCCATCAATTCCATGTGCCGCTTGGCCTTGTCCCGAACCGTGGCCCTTGTGGGCCGTCGGTTCAATGAAGATTCATCGGGGAGGCTCGATATCGAGATACAAGCTATGCTATTGGTTAGCAATAGCCAAGGGGCTAAGGCCCGTCGATTCGTGAGGCGTTCCTCGATGGACCGCCAGGATGTGATCTACGATATCGGGCCAGGGCCACGGATCCCGTGCCGCAATGTTTCGTCGCAGCGCTGTCTTTATCACTCGATTCGTGTTTTCTACCAGGTCATTAGATTGCGACATGTGGGGTGCAGTATTCCGAATGGCGACGCCATGTACGACCAGATTCCTCAAAATTTTCCCCCAGAATTCCACCCTATTGTCGGTTAGGATTTCCTCTGTGTCCTAGTGCATCCCTAAGAACCAGTTGACGTATCGCACGATTTCAGCCGCCTATCGCGTACGACATGGATATGCCTCGATCCATTTCGAGAAGTGGTCTACAAAAACCAGTAGAATTGAATATTTGCAGCTATTAGGTTCAGGGGGCACCACACTATTGGTAGTATCCATGCTAACCCTTTGAAACGACCGTTCAACTACCGTAGGTACTATCAATCTTGGTGGCTGGATCGGCGCCTTGTTAGTAGCGCAGACTTGACAGTTCGCGATGATGAATTTCACATCATCGCGAATATTGGACCAATACCATTCGTTCTTGTCGATTGCCGCTTCCGTGATCCGTACGGCAAAATGGGCTGCAGTTTCCTCATGTGCCGTCCTAACCCAGTCATACCTCATGAGCGGGTGTGGCACTACCATCCAAATTCCATTACCATCTATCTTTCGTTTTTCTAACCGACCCTCGCTCCAGCGATAGTCCCTAACCCTTTCGTTGGCCCTCCTCCGGTCTTCCTTAGTGAATACCTGGACGGGGTTTCCTATCAGGGTGGCAATTAGAGCGATGTCCGTCCATACCTCAGCCCTTCTAAACTTTCGGGTCTTTTCTAACCCTTCTGACGTGGCATCGAGGAATCGAGCTTCAGTCGGGATCTTATCAGTCCGACACAACGGACACAACCAGGGCTTATAGCCATTTCTGTACTGAATGAACGAGCAATGGGCTCGTGCAACACACTGTCGACAATCTACCCATTCCGCATACCCTTCCCCACTAGGACGCATTGAGATCGAGTAGACGTGCGAGATCGCTTCACAAAAATAACAAAATTTATCGGGTAGGGAGAGAAAAGACGAAGATGAGAGGGGGGAGAGAGGAGTTGTAGGAGTACCTCCGTCACCCATTGCCAATCGCCTACTTCTTGCCACGTGGAAGAACTGCCACTTGTCCGTACTTGGGTCCGTCAGTTGACTCCAGCTCCTTCCATGGAATGATTTCTTCTCCCTTCGGTACTTTAGCGGGGCGATGCAGTCATGTCAATCCGTTCGCGTTGTCGTGCCTCTCTGTCTTTCGATGGATGATGTCGAAGTCGTATTCTTGTAGGCGCACCGCCCACCGTCCAATCATACCCGTGTAATTAGTGAGCTTCTTGAGAGCCAATAATGACTCGTGATCGGTTACAAGGAGGAACTTGTGTCCGTATAGTTAAGAATGGAAGTGCTGGATTCCACTGCCTACGGCATAGCATTCCCCTTGCGGGGCTGAGTCGTTTCTTCGTTCGTCTGGTACCGTACGAGACGCGTACTCGATGACGTGCTCTCGGCCATCGTTCCCCTTCTGCGCTAGAACAGCGGAGATCGCCTCGGGCTGCCAACCCATGATGAGAATAAATTGCTTCGTAGGGTCTGGCCGAATCAAAATAGGTGTCGTCGCCAGAGCGCCTTTGAGGGTGGCGAAGGCCTGTTCGCACTTTGCGTCCCAACTGAGGGGTTGGTCCTTTCGTAGCAGATTCGTCAGAGGTTGCGCTATCGCAGTGAAGCCCTTGATAAAAAAACGACGGTAGTACGATGCAAGTCCCAGAAAAGCTCGAACCTGCATCACTGACGTGGGGAGTGGAGCATCTTTCACCGCCGCGACTTTCCTTGAATCTGGTCGCAGTCCTCCACGTGTCACCACATAACCCAAGAATGAGATTTCCGAAAGGAAAAACTCGCTCTTCTCGAGCACGATCTTGAACCCGGCATCTCTCAGAGCTCCCAGCGTCCATTCGATGTGTGGTGCATGCCCGTGAAAGGTCTCCGAGTAGACGAGGATATCGTCCATATATACGATGACGCAGAAATTAATCATCCCTTGAGTGAGCCGCGTCTTGTTGACGAAATTCTGGAACGTCACGTTCATAGCCCGTTGAAAGGTGGCAGGCACGTTGCAAATCCCCATTGGACATAGAACCCATTGCCACGTGCCTTCAAATAGCACGAAGGCCGTTTTCGGCCGATCGTCCTCCTTAATTACGATGTGATGAAAACCGTGACGAATATCAAATTTACTAAAATAATTAGAACAACCAATCGCATCCAGCAGGTCATCAATCCGGGGACGGAGGGTACACATTTTTAATCGTGATGCCATTCAGCTTACGATAATCAATGCATATGCGAATCGATCTGTTCTTCTTCGGTACTAATAATACCGGGAACGACCATGGCCCAGTGGAGGGTTCGATCCAACCATTAGCTTCGAATTCTAAAATCCGCTCAAGGGTCGTTTTCCGTTCTTCCAACGAGTATCCGTAGGGCTTAACGTGAATCGGAGGATGATTTCCGGTTTGAATTTCGTGTTGTATGACTAACGACAGTCCAATGTCTGTGTCCGTCAGACTAATTGCCTCTTTGTATTCTTTTAGAATTTCCGCAATTAGGTGATGGATCTCATCAGGTACGTATTGAGGCACATGTAACTCGTACATCTCATCCCATATCCGTACGTCGAGGCGTTTTGTACTTACCCGCTTAGTGTTTTCAGGCGGGGGCGTGGAAATAAATGAATTATCCGGTCGCCAGGAGAATACCGTGGCCATCATTTGTGCATCCTGTTCTCGGATGGCCTCGTGTTCTTCCGGTGTTATTCCGTCTCGAATGTCCTGCCATGGCACTGGTTTTGCTGCGATTTTGATTCCAAGCCCAGTTTCGAGCCGCTCAGGGGGTTCCAAAGAATTGGTCTCCGACCCTAAACGTATCAATCGCACCTCTTTTGTAAATGTCAGGAGAGATCGTGGGAGATTCGTGATGTCACAATAATGTCGTTTGTCATTATATTGTGCGAGTAAAGGGGAAATACCTTCGTACAGGGCTCGAGGGGGTTCCAAAGAGTCGACCATCCTCAAAATCTGCACGAGGGGTTCACCCATAATCATGGCTTGCGTTCTTTGTAGACTCTGATCAGCCAGGCCTAGCGATTTGGGGCTTGCTCAATGGACTAGGTAATAGATACGTTGTTGTGCCATTTTCAGAATTACTAGATCGTCCTCGTCACTATTGTCTGCGTCCTTCAGAGATTGCTCACCGTCAGCAGAGTTATCCCAGCTAATCACGCGGAGAGTTTCCGGTATCATGGGAGAAACCCGCGGGGTTACGTTAGCCATAGTTCGAAGAGTCGGTCTCATAGGTACAACATAGGGTTTTCCTCCTGTATTACAGAGGACGATTGATCACCTTTCGAAGTCCAGGTTGGCTCGCAATGCCACAAGCGCGAGAAGGCCAAAAGGGACGTCGTAAGTGTTTACGTTTAAAACTACGACATCTCCTAAGGCATGTACTTTTCCTACTCAAAAAGCGACATTGGTCATTCGTCCTACTGTTTTAATCTTTTCTTCATCCGCTGAAACGAGCTGATCTTTTTCCGTAAGCATGATTATATCATTCTTTCTTCCTGCTCTTTCAACTACCCGTAATTAGATAGCTGGGACAACGGCCCCGGAATCAATGATGGCATTGTGTGAGATTCCTCAAACCTCGATATCGTTATTCTGCGGACTTCCATGGTATTGGTTTGATCCGTAGGAAATGATCATCTTTTTGAATCAATCCTAACCGTATCGGGTCTGAAGTAGCTGCTGTATTTTCGTCTGGCGTGGGATTTTTCGCTTTGGTGCTCGCTGTTCGGGCAAGGGCGAATCGTTCCTAGTTCGCCTTGCAATGTTGCAACATTCGTTCGTTGGCTTGTTCTGATATCGAAAGCAGATGACCAATCGGAAGAGGAATCCGATGGTCCAAGGCTCGAACGATGTTTAAAACATCGATTTCCCTAGTGACGAAGGTGGGTCCTCCCGACTCCATCTCCCCTAGAGAAGGTCGCCATTCCGCCACTTCCCTTTGTTCTGGCGCGGGTCTAATCGTTCCAATCATCCCAAGCCCCGGGTAACCAAGCGTTACATACTGCTATATTTTCGTCCGGCGTGGGATTTTTCGTTTTGGTGCTCGCTGTTCGGGCAAGGGCGAATCGTTCCCAGTTCACCTTGCAATGTTGCAACATTCGTTCGTTGGCTTGTTCCGATAGCGAAAGCAGATGACCAATCGGAAGAGGAATCCGATGGTCCAAGGCTCGAACGATGTTCAAAACATCGATTTCCCTAGTGATGAAGGTAGGTCCTCCCGACTCCATCTCCCCTAGAGAAGGTCGCCATTCCGCCACTTCCCTTTGTTCTGGCACGGGTCTAATCGTTCCAATCATCCCAAGCCCCGGGTAACCAAGCGTTACATACTGATCCAACGGGATTAGCTGAACAGTTTCCTCTACTGTTGCTAATGTGCTTCTGCTCCCTTCCATTTCTTCGATTAGTGTTCCTACACATCCAGGTCCGTTAGCAATCGGGGTTGCCACTACTAGTGCGGCTCCGACTCGTTGCTGCGGAGGTCGATGGGGGCAATCTCGGGCTATGTGCCCTGGCTGATGACACGTGTAACAGACGTTTAGATTTCTAGGGATTCCTACGGGAGGGGGTGTCAGAGCCAATCCGTGTTGAATCGGGGCGACACTCACCGCTATTGGTCACATCGACCTCATCATTGCCTCTATCCAAGCGTTATGCTCCCGCTGTTCCTTTTTGCTTCCCTGGATCAGATTGACCAGTGTTTTGGTTAGTTCCAATAGGGCGGAAGACTCATTCGGTAGTGCGGGGGGTTCGATCGGTGGCGGGGGCGCCGTCATTACAGGCGCGGGCACGCTCGCAATCACACTCAGGGTCGGTCGTTTGGGACCAATCTGTTCTAGATAGGTGACTGGGCCTGACACAAACCCAATGTTTTCAAATTTGTTCTACAGTGCCGCCAACTCAGCTTTAGCTCTCGCTAGTTCCGACGAGTCTCCTTCCCTGGGATAGTCTTCCCCTTCTAGGAAACTCGCAGCGAACTTCCGCTCCATTTACTTTGTGGCTTCCATGATCTGTTGCAGCATGTGATTGATGGGGGAGAACTGTTTTCGCAGTTTCGCCCTTATCGTTTGGCTGCGAAGTCTATCGATGAACAAGTCTCTACCTACCTGTTCGCCTCGTTCTGTTTTCACAAACATCCTATAGAATCGGTTTCGATACTCGGTGACAGATTCGAGGGTTTTTTTAACCCGGTCTTTAATCATAAAAAGAGCTTGTTCCAGGTGGATGTAATCGAATCGATTAAAGAAATCTCGCTCGAATGTCGGGAGATCAACCCATACATAGGTGCTAAACCAATGATGAGTGTCTCCTCCCAATCGGCCGGGGATATTTCCCTGCGCCTCGTTGTCATCATACTGCTGAGCTCGGAGCGTGGCCAGCCATGCTCCAGCAAGATGATGAGCGGGATTGAATAGATAGAGATCAGGTGGCGTCATGGGTGCCCGTGCTCGTGGTACGGGTTGATTAGGATTCTGTTGGGGATTCGGATTTTGTTGGGGGTTCGGCTGATTAGCATTCATGTTGACCGCCCGTCGGGCCGCAGACCGACTTCTGGGGACGACAGGATCGTGTCGGTGCACGTTCCGTGGTTGAGGTCGTCCTCTGTTAGCCAGATCGTCCAACTATAAGTCCTAGAACCCTGCCACATGTCGGGCTCCGATACCAACCTCACGCCCGGCGCGACTTCCTGATCGGAGTGGGATGTG